TAAGGTATATTTTAATACTTTAAATTGTGTGCTAATTCTTTTATATTAAGTCACTATGAGTCCCCTTCGGAAGAGATAAAGCAATAATAATAACAATAATAATTACATCATTCAAAAATACATCATACAGTCCTAGACGCTTGGGAAGTGTTTGACTTGTGGTTTTGTGATACGAAATCCAGCATATAGATCTTGTTTGCTGTGACATACTGTGCTTTCATGTCAATAATAATGATAGATAGATAGATAGATAGATAGATAGATAGATAGATAGATAGATAATAGGCTTCACACTGAAATATTCTTGTTGATTTGCCCCCCTTCCCTTAAGAATTATGCTGGTCTGAATCAATATATTTTTAAGTAATTATCACCAGGACCATATATTAAATAAATCTTAATTTTGTGTTTGAAAGAGTTTTGATTAAGACTGCATAAATATGTGTATTTGTATATGCACCCCTTCAAGTACCCTGTTTGGTAACCCCATGAATTTTATAGAGTTTTCTGAGACAAGGAATACTCAGAGGTGATTTTGCCAGTTCTATCCTCTGAAATATAGCCTACAGCAACTGGTTCATGGGTGGAGTCCCATCTATGTACTAAGCAGGGCTGACATTCATACGGAATCCGCTGGCTTTAGGATATCTTGGCCCTGATGTTAAACTTTATTTTTGAAAGGAAAAGCAGAGTTTCTCTTTATAAGAGTGAAGGGAAAATCTTTTGTTTTGTTTTTGCATGCTAGCTGCATCAAAAATAATTTCAATTTTTAAAAGCCCAGTTACACAACTAAACACTTTATTCTGGTAAAATTATGTTTTTAATTTAACCAGTTAATCAGTGCAGGGTGGGAGGTAATTCAAAGTTAGATGGTTTGTGCCTCACTTAATGATATAAAACTGTAAAAAAGCTTCACTAAACCAGTAACCTTAAACCAGTATTCTGCACTATCCTTAAGTTTCTTTTTCATAATCTAAGCTGGCAAAAAGAGAAATTGAATATCTGTTTTGATTGGACTGAAGCAAGATCTGTCATTTAATCTACGGTAGAGTTTCACTTATCCAACTTTCTCTCATCTAACATTCTGTTTTATCCATAGCAGTCTTCCTCCCACCTGGATCCACAGCTATTTCACTACATTGCGATGTTTTGGTGCTAAAATTCGTTAATACAGTACTACTTACTACATCACATTACCATGTATTGAACTGCTTTTTCTGTCTATTTCTTGTAAAATATGACGTTTTGGTACTTAATTTGTAAAATCATAATGTAATTTGACATTTAATAGGCTTTTCCTTAATCCCTCCTTATTACCCAACATTTTCGCTTATCCAATATTCTGCCGACCCGTTTATGTTGGATAAGCAAGAGACACCGTCATCGTCATCTTCCTCCTCCTCCTCCTCCTCCTCCTCCTCCTTATTACTTATTATTATTATTATTATTTCAGGAATTAATTATTAGAATTTTAAAAATTCGTCTCCTGTTAGCAAGACCACTTTTTTAGTAACTCTTATTCTTCCCTACTATCTAGATCCTTCGTGTCAGATCAATACGAGAATATCTTAGAATTTTGTAGGTTGTAGAGTTGTTGGCGACTCCATATCCATTATATTAAACCTATAGTTTTAGAATACGCTGCAAGGACATACCATCAGAGTTGCGAAAGCTAAAATAAACAACCAGTTTGTGTGTGAGACCTCAAGGGTGTTTTTTGACTGGAAAATGGGTGTTGATTTCAGTTTGCTAAAGCTTTGTAATGACTGACCTTTGTGCAGACGAGCTGCATACTTATAAAAATAGGTGGAAATGTTTCCTGTAGAGATAAATAATAATATGTGGGTAGATAATTACCTTCAAACGAAATGGACGTGTCTATTTTCAAGAAATCCAGTATGTTGACTGCAGGCATAAGGAAAAATCTTGTGTTATGGTTTTACATGCTAGTTACGTCAAAAATAATTTCCATTTTTAAAAGCTCAGTTATACAACAATACACCTTATTCTTTTAAAGTATTTTAATCTATATTTTTGTTGATGTTTATTTGTGTGGTGGTCCAAAAGGTGTTCACTTTATGTGTGAAATTTAGAGTGTTTTTCTGGAATAATATTCAGCCAGTAAGTCTGTTATTATGTTATTAGTGTGACTGTTGCAGTTATCATCATCATCACAGATTGAAAGCAAATGGCATTGATTCCTGCTTTTGCATAATCTTGCATTTCTGTACTGTGAAATGTCTAGTCTGTTATCTGCTCAGTTCTTGAAGAACTGAGATCTTATACTCAGAAATACAAATGTTTATACATAAAGAATTCAATTGGGCTGAGGCAGAGGGGGTCAGAATTAATTTTTTTCTAACTGACCATTCTAAGTTTCCTGAGTTTATTGCCTAGCTTAAAGTTGTTGGCCTTTGGAACCCATTGGAACAAATCATTCCCATAGTTTCCTATTTGGGCTTTCCATCTAATAGAATGAAAAATTACAAATTAGCCAGCTTTCATTTCCCCTTTCTCTGAATACAAAATGTGCTTGCTGAACTGCTACAGAGAAGAGATCCAGAGTATCTCTGGTTGTCTCCTCCAAGAAGGTGTGACGGTCAAATTTGCATCATTCCATTCTATACAGTTTCTGCAGCTTTCATATTTATCTCTTTCTCTGTTTGTTTTACCATAGGGAAGTTCTAAAATGTTCTAGATCTGTCATAGCACTGCTTACTCCTTAAGTTATTGTTTATTCATTCAGTCGCTTCCGACTTGTCGTGACCTCATGGACCGGACCAACCTTACACATTATATTTGCATCCTATGTTTTGAGTGTGTGCATGCATGTTTGCTTGTGTAAGGGCGGAAGTGTACAATCAACCATTTCCATTTCAACAGACTTCACAACTTCTGAGGATGCCTGCCATAGATGTGGGTGAAACATCAGGAGAGAATGCTTCTGGAACATGGCCATACAGCCCGGAAAACTTACAGCAACCCATTTCCATTTCAGTTTCCATCTTCGATTTTCTTTTGTTACATTCCATTTTGTGAGGTGGACAGCCTTCCATTGTTTATGATATAATGCATTTAAATCTTCCTCGCTGAAGGTACCTCCCTAATCATTTACTCAAGGCAAGCACCTCAACCTCAAAACTGGCATGTTGCTTGAGGCTCAGTCTGCAGTTGAACACTCCCGCACAAAAATATATTATTTGCATTTCCCATTTTTTAGTAAACAAGCAATCCAAACTTTAGTGCTTTAATCTTCTGCACCACTTCTTCCTCTTTTAATTTTTTTTAACTGAAATCAACTTCTGTTGAACTAACCTGCCCCATTGTCTGGCCTTTCTGTGGATTTTTGTCTCTTAAAGTTTACTCATTCATTTACTTTTAACATTTTTATCACTATTTCCTCTAGTGTGTGCTCTTTCTCCTTCCCTATAATTGTTTAGTTCACAACAACAAACCTGTGAAGTAGGTCAGGTTATGAGAGTAGGACTAACCCAAGGTGACCTAGCAAGTTTTGTGGCTCAGTATGTAGTGGAATTTGGCTCTGCTCAGTTCACCCTCCTAAGTATGACACCCCTCTGGCTCAGTCCCTGGACCTTTGCCCATGGAAAGATTTTCTTTTTGCGTTAATTTCCACCTGTGTGTTATAGATAGGACAGTACATAGGTCATCTGGCTACAAGTCTTTACAGCTTCCTTTGTTTTGTTTGGATGGCTCTTTTTTTTAAAAGGAGAGTGAGGGAGGGAGAGCTGAGATCATCAGAAAGTCCCAGCCTCTTCATAATGTCATGTTGCTATTTTACATACTCCTGCTAGAAGGAGTCCTGATACGTTCCCTGTTGGGGGAGGAGCTGCAGGGTAATTAAATGATTCACTGGTTTCTGTGTTAAGCTACCTCAGTTGAGACTTGGGTTTACAGCAGTCAGGGTGTGCTGTGCATTAGGTTTCAGCAGCTCTAACCTAGGCATGTTGCTTTGTTCAAACCATGCATTGGGAAGAGCTGTTGCGCCTCAAAAAAGCCAAGGTAGGCAAGGAAAGAAGAGAACTTTGGTTGCAGGAACAGGTATTGAAAATCTAAGTTTATAAAAACTATTTAAATATATATACTGGTTAAAAGAAGTCAGTTTGCATAAGTTTGATGTAAATTTAATTTTTATATGATTCTTCCAAATATAGATGTTTAAAGCTTGTGTACATATGGATATTATTTTGTTTGGAGAGTTTCACCAGTTATCTTTTGATAAACAAAGCTTATTTCATTCAAGAAAATGAAGGAGAATTGTCTGAGAATGTAAAGGTTTTTTTTTATATTGAATTATATATATATATATATATATATATATATATGACTAAAGTATAGATAGATCTATGTGTTCAAATTAAATGGGCACAGCTCTCGTGTGCATCCTACTATTCTACTATTTGCACCAGGTTATATATATGACCTTTTTAGGAGAATATACATGACCTAAGTTTGGTTCTAATAGACCAAAGGATGCTAGCAAACTGCGCCACCACATTAAGGTGATCAACAAATAAATGTGAGGACACAAATATACATTTTATGTGGGTACACAATTATATGGGTTTATTTTACAGAGAGACAAACCACTTCACTACATATACAAGAATTTTGGAAATGCCATATTTTTGGGACTGTAGAATAATAGCTATGGCTGAGTACTAGATAAAATTGTTCCTTTTGTGTTGATTTTACTGAAGTTAGCAATGTTGGTTGAAGTCTTCTGATTTCATTTTTCCATGCTCAAAAATGGCAAAGCCATTCTCACAATTATATGGGTTTATAATTGCTGTTGCTGTTGCTACAACTGCTGTTGTAGATTGTGAGATTTCATCTGGAAATGGAAGACAAATGGAAGATAAATTTATTTGTCATTTTATGCCTATTTAATAGTTTTCACTTCCTAAGAAAACAGAAGTGGCTGATGTTTCAAGTACCAAAGCAGTCTTTCATATTAGTATATTTTTTATTTCTTTTTCCAGATTGAACGACTAGATGTAAGCAGCCTAGCACCAGCATCAAGCACAGTGGTCTCCAGCACAGACTGCAGCATCAATGCCGACTCTGTTGATGGTACACCAGACCCACAACGCACGAAAGTGGCCATCACCCACCTGCAGCAGAAGATACTGAAGCTGACAGAGCAAATCAAAATAGAACAAACAGCTCGGGATGACAATGTGGCGGAATACCTGAAATTAGCCAATAATGCAGACAAGCAACAGAGTGCCCGGATAAAGCAAGTGTTTGAGAAGAAGAACCAGAAGTCAGCCCAGACAATCCTCCAGTTGCAAAAGAAGCTAGAACATTACCATCGGAAGCTGCGAGAGATTGAACAGAATGGCATCCCTCGACAGCCCAAAGATGTCTTAAGGGATATGCACCAGGGGCTGAAAGATGTAGGGGCAAAGGTCACTGGCTTCAGCGAAGGAGTGGTTGATAGTGTTAAAGGTGGACTTTCCAGTTTCTCTCAGGCAACCCACTCTGCAGCAGGGGCCGTTGTTTCCAAACCCCGAGAGATCGCCTCACTCATTAGGAACAAGTTTGGGAGTGCCGACAATATTGCTAATCTGAAGGACTCCTTGGAAGAAGGTCAGGAAGATGGAACTGGGGGAAAGGTGTTAGGTGTTCATAACTTTCAGTCAAGCCCAAAATATGGCAGTGAGGAAGATTGCTCCAGCGCCACGTCAGGCTCTGTGGGGGCTAATAGCACTACAGGGGTCCCCATGGGAGCGCCAAGTTCCAAAACAAATACTATGGAAATGCAGAGCTCAGGGTTTGATGCAATACTGCATGAGATTCAAGATATCAGAGAGATGCAAACACGGCTGGAGGAGTCATTTGAAAACCTTAAGGTTCACTACCAGAGGGATTATTCCTTGATAATGCAGGCTCTGCAGGAAGAAAGATATCGGTGAGTATGTAGTCCACCATCCTTTGATCATATTAATGGTAAGGCCTGTCCGGAGCTATCTTGACATATGCATTCACCCAGCACTATTGATCTCATGTATCTCAGGTACTATCCTTTAAAAACATTGTTCAGTTGAGAGGCATCTTCGTACTCCATTCTTGCAAGCCCAGATTTTTCTCCCTTCCTGACTTTCATTCCCTGTGGTTACACCTATCTCAGAATCAATTTTGTAACCCTGTTCTGCAGTTTGCCAGCCATTTCCATAGTCCCAGTCTTATGGTATGATGGATTTTTAGGTGCACCCTGTTTTGGTTACTTCATAGGTTATCGGTAAGGGAGTCTTATTGGAGGATTGATTTTTCAGTGCATCCCTTATTGGTTGCTTCATAATTATCAATAAAGGGGTAGAGAAGCAGGGAATCTTGTGACGAAGTACCTCAAAGATGTAGATCATTTAGAGCAAGGGTGTCAAACTTGTTTTCATCAAAGACCACATCAGCCTTCTGGTTGCCCTGAACCATGGACAGAGAATCGGTGGATACAGAGGGCCAAATACAATTTTTTTACATAGTAGTTGGTGCTCTTTTGTTTTTACCCCATTTGATTCCCCAGATGTTATTAAATGACAACTCCCATCACTTTTGATTTTCCTCCATGTGGAATTGCAACCCAACAGCACTTGTGGCTCTGAGGTTGGGGAAAAATTAAAGGGCATTTTAGAGTCAGACATCATGTCCACAAGTCTTGTATCTAAATCCAAACCTCACTCTCCTGACTAAACACAACAAACTGTGGCCGTTCAGATGTTACTGTGTCACAATCCTCATCAGTTCTAATCATTATGGCTAAGAGTTGTAGCCTAGCATCTGGAGGGGCTACATAAAAGCATAAAGGCATAAAAGCATATGCCGGGCTGGATTCAGCCCCCGGGCCTTGAGTTTGACACATGTGGTATAGAGCCTTACAGCTCTAAACACTTGGACCAGGAACTGAACTATCCCAGTATGTGCTACATGTAACACTGGTTCCCAACATTCCTAACACTCATCAAAATTCACTGTATTGGTTGGTATTCTGAAATATGCCTCTTTAAAGGAATAAAGGCCCTTACATGTCCTACCTCTACACATACCAAATGGAGGCGATTATAACTTGTTTCATGTCAAAATAATTTTCCTAATAAGTTTTCCCATACCAAAACTAAAAAAAAATCTTACACAGTCTAAAGTAAACAGCTTTTTTCAACTTGATTGAAACCAATCATCAATTGACTTCATTACTAGACAGAATTAGTTATTATGTTCTGTTTTGGCATAAATGTACTTAGGATGTTTTATAAATTCTTCCTTGGATACCAGACTACTGGAAACAGGATTGATGAGTTATTTCAAAATCATTTGCAGACATCTGCTGAAATTGTAACTTTAATCTATAATCCATAATCCACTTGAATGAGTGATGTGCTAACTTTATACTTTGATAATTACGATAAATATGTAATGGCTTGCATAAACAGCTAAAAATGACAAACCTGAACCTTAGCATTTTCTTTTTTTAAAAGAGAGTTCTTTCTTGTTTCCTTCCTGTATTATGTGAAAACAGCTCTATAGAAGTTTGTCTGACTGGTTAAATTATATACTTACTCTTTTCAACTATAGTGACTTTCTGACGTTATGTACTGTGACAAACAAATGACAAACAAATGACTGAATTGACAGAGTAGCTTTTATAAGCCATGTGTATTTTATGTGTAAAATCTGGAGGCTAACAAGGACCTAAAAGCAGTGGTTCTCAGCCTGTGGGTCCCCAGATGTTTTGGCCTTCAATTCCCAGAAACCCTAACAGCTGGTAAACTGGCAGGGATTTCTAGGAGTTGTAGGGTAAAACACCTGGGGACCCACAGATTGAGAACCACTGCCCTAAAGGCATCAGATCCTGTTTGATATTAGAAGCAAAGTAGTATCAGCCCTAGTTAGCACTTTGATGGGAGACTGCCAATAAATATGAGGTATCGTAGGCTATATTTTAGGGGAAAGAACTGACAAAACCACTTCAGATGATTCCTTGCCTAGAAAACCCCTATGAAATTTGTGGGTCCCCATAATTGGGCAGTCTACTTGAAGGCACATACATATATTATACACATGGAGGCTAGTAATAGTTAGAACGGAGAAGCAGGAGGATAGGAGACATAAGGGAAGTTAAGTGGTCAGCTGTACATGTGTGGCACAAATGAACAGAGTTCCTCTTTCTAGATTAGTGCATCTTTTTGTAAGTAAAGTTTGCTTTCTAAAGAAATTGAAAGTGGAGGGTCTTATTGCCAGCTGGCTTGAGAGACATGTAAACACCTTAACTTCTTTTGTTTTTTTAAAAACAAAGATAATCTCGGGCATTTAGTACTTTTGAAGAAAAAATCATGCTATCTTTAATTTGATTTAATTTTTAAGAAGTTTGAAGTTCCCCTTCTGGCAGTTTCTGTATCACCATTCTAGGTTAGCAGAGAATACTGTCTTTCAGGTACCTCATTTGAATTTTGCCTGGAAACAAACTGGTAGCCAATGGAGCTGTTGTATCAAGGGACTTGTATACTCCCTATAAGTAGCCCTCATCCGTAGTGTGACTATACTGTTTTGAATCAGCTGAAGTTTCCAAACATCCGGGTGTAGAGCACATTGTAGTAATCCAAAAGGAATGTCATTCAGGCATGTGTCACTGTAGACAGATCAGGCGGCTCTAGGAATGGTGCACAAGCCTTAGCCATGAAAATGCACTCCTTCCCAACACCGAATCCCAGCATCCATATTGAGTTGTGGGATTTAGGACTACATCCAAGGGGTATTCCTTTGTCTGATAGTCATAGGGTTCCTGCAAAGGATCCAGCTTTTAGTTCCTACACCTAATTTTTCAATCGAGAGTGCTTGTCTTTTGTCTTAAACCTGATTTGTCTTTCATACTTAGGCTGCCTTGTTTCTGGCCCTGTATGTTACTTTTGCCTTTGCTGGGCTTTGGTCTTAGTAAAGTTGCCTCTCCTGTTTTTCCCCTTCTCCACTCCTGGCCCCTGGCACTTTTTTTAAGGATACTATGATTTCTGTATGTCACTCCCTCTCTCTTCTGCAATGTTACAACTTGTTAAAGTCTGAGCAAAATCTGTGCTGTCTGCCTATTGGACAGCTGATGTGGCTTCATACATAGTCCAGATGGATTAGCCACTCCCTTTAACTCTCTTTTAGTAATTCAGCTCTGACTTCATCTCTGGGTTGTTGTTTTTTCCTTACTGCTTTATCAGCGGCCAAATTCCAAAACAGATAGGGGCTTATCTGCTTTTAGAATTCAGCAGATGTTTACTTGATAAAAAAGGACTTTCTCTGCTGTCCTGTTGAATCACTTTCATTACGGAAGATACCACAATAGACTTTTTTTGTGCATCATGTAACCTGAATTCATAATATTCGGATGTGTTCAGCTGGTTTCTTATTTATCCAACTTCCAGTTTTCTTGGGTTGCCTGAGAATGTTGATAAGCATACTGCCCAACATTTTTTGTTTATTTAAAAAATATTTACTCAGAATTTCATTTTTTATGTTGCTTAATAGTGTGTAGAGTCATTCTTTTATTCTTAGAGTCTGTTTTGCTCATAGGCTTTGTTTAAGAGACTACAGCATGTCTCGCAATTCTAAAATCCGCCCATCCCTGCCTATGTGCAGATATATATAGTCAGAACTCTGTTTCAGAAATGTATCTAACACTCACATGTCAAAATCGGTTTTTTACTGCTTTGAATCTCCTTTGGCAGAGAAAAAGCAGGGTATGAATAACAACAACAACAACAGCAATAATAAATATTAAGCCATGCAGAGTAGTACAGTGCTTAGAATCATAGAATCATGGTGTTGGATCAGATCCCAAGGGCATCCAGTCCAACTACCTACCATGCAAGAACACCCAATCAGAGCACTCCGGGGAAGGGGACTCTACTATACTCTGAGGCACATGTATCACTGTCAAACAACTTCCTAATTCTTAGTGTAGTTTGAATCCTTTGCTCTGGGTCTTAGTCTCTGTAGCAGCAAAAAACAAATTCAATATGACATCCTTGCAAATATTTAAACAGCATGTCCCCTCTTAAACTTCTCTTTTCCAAGCTGTAAACATACCCAGCTCCCTAACCTGCTCTTCCTAGAGCTTGGCTTTCATACCTTACCCAGGAAGCTGTGTCACTCCAGTAATCACCTCTCTTCATTGGTAAACACCCCTTGGGTTGGTTGATCAAGCAGTCACCACAGTAGCATTGTCTAACCAAAGGTTTCTTAATTTTTCTCTCTCACAACTCCTTTCCATCTGGTATTTTTTTATGACCCCTTTCCACCTAAAAGTCTTTTACATTATCTCAGGTAGATGGGTATATAAAATAAGTAGAAAAATCAAACATATACTGATGATAATTCAGTCTTTGTCGGGCTTGCTAAACAGGCTGGTTTTTCTATTTCTGGGGTACAGTTGAAGTATTTTCTATACTGTAAACACTGCATGTTGTTGCTAACAGATTTGTGTAAATATCTAGATAGCATTCAGAAACCTTTTACTGTTGCAACATTTTTCATCACCCCAACATTGAGCTAAAGCAGTGGTTCCCAAGCTTTGGTCTGTGTACCACCAGTGGTCCACAAGAACAAAAATATGGTCCATGGCCTCACCATTACTACACCGATGCCTTGAAACCACGTGGCAGTGAGAGCGACTGGTCTTGCAAAAGCCTCTTATAGTGTCGAGGCAATGGGGATGTCAGGAGGGGAGAGGCTGACTACCGATGAAAATTTACTACTACCACATCAGCTCTAGATTATTAAATATGGTTTTCTGTGGGCGAGCAGATGGCGACTACTGGATGGCATATGTTCTGTATCAGAAACTAGAGCTGATGTGGTGCAATTTTCAGCACCGTAAATAACCAGACCAAATCTAATGTTGACAAAAACCGATTCGTAACCCTTTTTGTACTAATGTTGGAGAATGGACTCTACTCAAGTGGTCCCTGGTCAAAAAAATATTGTGAACCACTGAGCTAAAGGAACTGCATTTGGGTCGGCACCAACAGTGGTCTAGCCCACATTTTAATAGTTTCTTTGTGAGAATATAATTTGCAACCTTATTGAAGGCCTTATTGAAATCAAGATATGCCCACATCTGTGCCATTTTCCCACCAACTCCAATGTGAATGTTTTGGCCCATTATTCACAACTTCCAAATGTTCAAGAAAGCTAGATTTACATAGGTTCTCTTTAGAATAGGAGTGTTATGAAGCCCTGAGAGAACAAGATTTGAGTTGGTGAGGCAACCCAGGATTCCTCTGAAAAGGAAATGAATATGGTTGCATAAGGTCTTGCCGTGTTATGTTTATCCCATGTGTCATTCTACTCATGCATGACATGTAAACAGTAGCAGTGATGCTCTACTGATACCTGTGTTTATCACACAAGCTTTCTTGTCCTTACCAGAAGATACAAGCCTTGAATTTTGAGATTCACATCCAGTATTTAGTTTTTCTTATTTGTTTTAACAAAAACAAAGCCAAACAAAAATATTCATAAAGAACAGTAGGCTTCCGCCAATGTTTTGTCAGTAGTCTTCCTATACAGCAAAGCTTTCTGGGTCTCCCCGTCCTCTCTGGAAACCCATGAACCCATCAACACATTTTTGGAGAAATCTTCCAGACCTCCAGGTCAGATTTGAAAAGAGGATTGCTAATGGGGTTTGCTAAAGAAGTATGTTCTGTCAGGGTAACAACATAACTGAACATTACCTTTTAAACAATAGCAACGATACTAAGATCAATTTTACATGAAAACAACAAGTGCTAGCTAAAACAGACCAGCAGAAAAAAAAGAAGACATAGTTTTATATATGAATCTCAGTGTCATTATCACCAGAATATACTTGACTCAGCCTTACTACTTACTCTCTTAGCGGTGATTGCAGCCACTTGGATTGCAGGTCAAGAGGGGAAACAACCAAGCAGAATTTCCTTCTTCTCAACATTGAAGTAGAAATATACACAAAACTAACATTTTGGTCTGAAAAAGGAAAAGTAATATTGGAAGTTTCCCAGTCTCAACCGGCACCTAAAACAGGAGTGAGAAGACAACTACAACTCTGGGCACCTTTTTCTTTCCTTCCCCCCCCCCCCCCAAAAAAATAGTAAAAACAAAACTAGGAATAGCTATCCATTTTAGGAGATACTGAGAGCACCTACTGTGTGCTTGAGGAGTTGTCTATAAGAAGGGTGGGTGAGGATGCTTTTCCTTTGAACCATTTCATGCCTCGCAAAGCAAATCCCACCTCCTCTCTCAAATCTTTTTCTTGGAGTATAAAGCAAAGAGTGGTCCCACTGAACATGGTGACTACTTTAGAAGAAATGTGCATAGTATCTGTAAGGCTGCACTTATCTTCTTATGCTTCAATTGATTTTATTTTTGGAAAATTCACTGTGTTGAAATAAGAGGCACTTGAAAATTTCACAGGAGCAGCAAGAGATAGAGATAAATACAGGTGGAATGAAATACTCTTGGTTTGTTGGTTTCTGCATCTATTTTCTCTTTGGTTTTGGAGAAATAGTATTTTGAAATATGAAATGAAAAGAGCTCTTTCAAGTGTTGGTAAAGGGGGGATGTTGAGGATTCAACAGAATTCTGCGTTTCTATATTGATTTCCTGTTAAACTAATCATAAAAGCCAATGAGCAAGCATGAAATAGAAAACATCAGGGCATCCCATTTAGGCATATTTCAGCAAAAATGGGGCAACAATCTAACAGGCATTCTGCTTCTCTAAATTTTCTAAATACAAACTAACAAAAAAAAAACTCAAGAATGCTAAAGTGATGTAACTCCCTAATATGGAATCTGCTTGAATGTGTCAGAAGACAAGAATATGGTAAGCATGAAATGTCAAGAAAGGAGACTGTACTGCCATTTAGTTATACTATCCCTACTGCTTTGATGGAACATTTTAAAAAGGCCCACATGGCAACTCTAAAATCTGGACAGGCAATATGAAATCAACTTTAAGATTCCAGCAGATTAGCAAGGCTGAGAGTCCTCCCCTCAGAAGCACCCACAGTTTTGAGACAGAGCAGTAGGAATCCAAGTATATCTGAAAATGCTCTTAGCCAATCTGCAAAGTTCTAATCTTTGTGTGAAGGCATCCAGTAAGTGGATGTGGAGAGGCACTCTGTACCTCTTCAGAGGTACTTGAAGATATCTTTCCTTGATATATTCTGAGGTTTGAGACTTGGCATAGGAAGCAGATGCCAGAACTGAGCACAGATTAACTGGTGCAGGAACATTTGGTTTGGTTTGGCCTGCCTCCCTAAAATGGACGGCACCACGCCAATTCCATTCCGAGGCCCCAGCTCTGTAGGTGGCGTTTTGAACTCATGCGTTGTGTTTCTTTGGAATTAAGGGTATGGAATGGGTATTATCAGATCTGATTGTTTGTAAGTTAAAGGAATGTAAGTTTGACATTAAAAGTTCCATATTTTCCTTTGGAGAAAGCCAAGCAAAATATATTAACAAGTAATGAGTCGTACCCTTTAAGACTTCCTACTTTCTGCAGGAAATCACTGTGTGAATTTTAATATGCTCTTAAGTTTTCATAGTTTGAGAACAATAATTAAAGTGTGCACATATCTGTGTGGAACTGTTTGTTAAGTACATTTGCCGTTATAGGCCCACTGCGTCTAATGTTTAAATTAGTACTTCCTTTTGTATTGTTAAACTTTGGATCCAGCCATTCACATGGCCTTTCCCCTAAAAAATATAAATAGTTTCAAATCAGGCTAGTTAGGTTACACTATGTAACATAATTTTTGTTCCTGGGTTATAAGTGTCATTTCCTGATTGGCTCTCTCATAAAAACATGGGAAAAGTTTATTAAACTGCAAAAACTTTGTTTTTGCGGGACATCCTGCAGTACATTTTGCTATCATTTTTCAATGAATATCTCATCAAGTCTCAACCAATTCAACTTCATTTATGGTAAGCCGCAAAAACAGTTTCTGGAATACAACAACTACTCTCAAAGTAAGTACCATGCAATTAAACAGGAAAGCTTTCATTGCAAGGAGCTAACAACCATATTTTTTTTTGTTCTAGTTGTGAACGTCTGGAAGAGCAGCTGAATGACTTGACTGAGCTCCACCAGAATGAGATCCTCAATTTAAAGCAGGAATTGGCCAGCATGGAGGAAAAAATAGCTTATCAGTCCTATGAGCGAGCCAGAGACATCCAGGTTGGTGAATATGATGCAAATTTCCACCTTGCTATGTCTGTGGATCCATTTTTACGCACTTATTGAGCTATTACAGTTTTTATGACAATATCCATTTATAATGAAATTCTGTTCAGTTCTGAATTGTCTTTGTCACCATTGCTCTGATTCCAGTACATGCCATTGTTGCATATTTGCTGTACATAAATGCCCAATTAAGATGAGTTTGCTTAGTATCATACAAAGACTTCTCCTTTATAGCCCAAAGTTCAAATGAAGGCTAGCCTGGTCTGCTAGCCGAAGCTATTCTAGAGCTTTGGGTGATGAGACCAAAAGGCTGTCCTGTGAAAGAAAATAGTTTTATGGCATTGTTTCCAGTAAGCTGGTGGCAGGATGTGTCTATCACTAATTTTAATACAGAAAGACATAGAATTTAAAAGAGTAGTTGGCTTTGCATATCCACTCTATCCTGTTAGGAAGCAACCAGTTCAATGTTGCTTGTCCGAATAAGGTAGCTTTTGAAAGGAAAGGGCTTTGGTTTGTTTGTTTTTGGCTTTTGTCTGAGTATGTAAAGTTCAAAAGTCTGAAAAGTTAATTTTAGAAAGTAACCACTTCAAAGGAGGTAGCACGCAATAGATTTAACAGTGAATTCCAAATCCATAGCCTGAACATTTTAATACAATTCTTTGTAAGTAGCAAATTTGTCCAAGTATTGAAACCTGGACAGTCTCACAGTGATGGTGCAGGTAACTGACAAACACAGTATTGTTGGAGGCTAGATTAGACATGAAAGCAGCCAGCATATGTGTTTAGATTGGGAGTCTCCAAACACAAGTGTTCAGCAGGGAATGCCTGTGTACATGGCTAACCATTGAACAAGTTGGCTGGGGCTTCTGGTACTTGGAGGCCCAAACACCTGAAGGGCTACAGGTTGAAGAGGCATGTCTTGGGGAATGATTACTTACTTACTTACTTACTTACTTACTTACTATATTTATATACTGTCTCTCATGTTAGCTCACATTCTTTTTCTGCAGGAGTTCAGATTTTCCATGTTTGGATTTGCACTGATAAGCTAAAGGGAGTAATTAATACTGGTGGTACTATTGCAGCCCTAGCACAACTTACAGGCATAGATCAGTTAACCAAGTCTCTGTGTTCCTGGGCATTACTTCTTTAACAGAAAATTTAGTATCTGAGAGAGTTTCTTACACCACAGAAAGAAGAGTAGTTCAGCTTATTTCAGCTAACATTTTACTCAAAACTAAAATATGCACATGTCAAATCAGCCAGACAGGTCAGATAAGCCTTGCGTGAGCAAGCCAGAAGGACTGCGTGAGGAAATAAGAAGTATTGTGTGAGTAAGCCAGAATATGGTGGGTGAGGTAGGCTCCCCAGAAGGCAGGGCATTCCTAATTTTAACAGCAAACCTTCCCAGCTGGAAGAGTTCCAATTTTAGATCAGAAAAAAGTGTGACAAACCGTTTTCTGAACTGAACTGTTTTACAATTGCAGAAGGATTTAGGAACAAAATATATAGGTTATGATGTATTGTCTAAGGCTTTCATGGCCGGAATCACTGGTTTGTTGTAGGTTTTTTCAGGCTTATATGGCCATGTACTAGAGGCATTCTCTCCTGATGTTTCGCCTGCATCTATGGCAAGCATCCTCAGAGGTTGTGACTTCACTACCTCTGAGGATGCTTGCCATAGATGCAGGCAAAACAAAAAAAAAACCTACAACAACTCATATAGGTTATGTTTTTCCATCCTAACAAGGAAACAGCACACTCTTGCTAAAGGGATATCAAGTCAGTTTGTTTTAAGGAAACCCTTAGAGACAGAGCACAGATAGAAACAAGGTGATGCCTGCATTGTTCAACTCCTGAATGAAACATTCATAGTGTAAGCAATGGTAAAGGCAACAGAGATTATGCAGTAATTCCCCTTTAGGCAGAGAAATTTTGTATAAGCTCCATGCTTTTGTTTTCTTTTTAGCATCAAGATATAGCCATAGCTCTGTTATTGAAGTAGATGCATCTCCAGACATTACTTCAACAAAAATGTGGTATTTGAAGCAGAAATAACATGGAAATAATATTGATAGGTTTCTATGCTACAAAAAGAAGAGTAATTTTTAATGTATATTTATAACTATTCTAATGTATATGGCTGTATTTTATTATGTGTTTTACGTTGTGTTGGAAGCCATCTTGAGTTCCCCGTCGGAGGTTGAGAAGGATGGGGTATAAATGTTCTAAATAAATAAATAAATAAATAAATGTTTAACTCAAAACTAAAATATGCATATGTGAAATAAAAACGCAAAGTGAAACAATTGAAACAAAAAAACATTTTGGACCTTCTAGAGACCACTTGAAAGCATCTTCCAAAATGTGTCCAGGGATGTATTAACCTTTCTTACCATTTCAGTTTGGGTAGACAGACATCTACCCAATTCTTTTTTTAAGATATATAGGTTATGATGTATTGTCGAGGATGCTTGCCATAGATGCATAGAGTGTCAGTGGTGAGGCAGATTTCTTCTATGTAGTGTCTGTGAAATCACACATATGGGTTTACTTTGCACATGCGCAATGCAGTTCAGAACCTTCTCGATATTTTCTATTGAAACATTTTGATGCTACAGCCTCAGTTCCTGTTTTTCCACGCTGATTGCAGCTAGGAAACATCGGTTTGTGCCTTTATTGTTTTTTCTCTAACAGTTTCTCTGGACTTTGTTTTTGCTGTCTTTCTCTATTCCTGACTCCATGCACTGTGTTTGTTATGTTATCTTCCATTTTCTGTCTGTTCTGTTGACTATATATGGTCACTTAGGGAATTTTGTGGAGAACTGCTGTTTACTGTGCCTGCTGTAGACACACGGGCATAGATGCAATAGGGCCAGATAAAGTAGAATTCCATTGCTTCCAGCTTCAGTATTGTTTGTTGCATTGTTTAACGCAGATACTCTGTTCCAACCTGCCACCAAACATCTATGTTTCTCCAGCTCTATACCATCCTACCAATGCTGATGTTTGCCAAAATATGTCCAGCTAGACAGAAGCTGAGAATTTAAAGGAGCCAGAGTGGGCATATTTTGTAAAAAGGAACTTCTCTGTCAGAGACTTTGTTAAATGGGGTATGAGAGTACTCAATATGGTGTAATTATGACTGTACAATGAAACATCACCATTGTTATTTATGTGTGAAATACGAACTGCCATGCAGAAAACTTAATTTTTAGACAGGTGGCTAAGAATTGGTTGAGAATGGAGAATAATCCCTGGCACCTGAAAGTTTCAGCTTCTCATTTCATCCCCTTCCATGTAGTGCTATTTGTATAACAGAGACCAGTGACATCAAAGCATGACATGGAGTATCCTTGGAGATAGCTGCCATCTATTCTTCTTGAAGTCCCATCATTCTTTTCTGCCATTAAACTGTTGAGTGTAGTTTCACATAAAAGCAATAAGACAGAATCCTCTTGTTCATAATATAAAGTCCCTGTATAAAGGAAGCAGTGCAGAGGGACCATAACTTTTGCTGCAGGATATAAAACCATTAGACATTACTCACATCCTGCAGTGTATAACCGAACTTCAGGAATGCCAGAGGCATTGCAGTTTGTGCATCAGAAGCTCTTTATTTGGAGGATGTGCCAGGCCCTGCTTTCCATCATTGCCTTGTCATCTGCCTTATGCTCTTTGCATTTGATTTCCCATCAGCAGACTGGCATAACACCGTGCACACATGTCTAGTTGCACACTCATCATTGTTACCATGTGAGTAATATAACTGTCCAAAACAATGTCCAGACTGTCAGCCATCCTCGAATTGAGTAAAGGTGGATTCGCTTTCCCATGCACTCATCCCATTTCCCCAGTTGCAATACTGGAAGAATTCAAGGACAAAGCAGGCCATCTAAGGTCGTGCTCTGGCTGAACTGTCCTCTCCTGTCTTCTACTATCCTGCTCGATGGATCCTTATGACTTCTTATTTCTAATACAGTAGAGTCTCGCTTATCCAGCATTCCGTATTATCCAACGTGCCGTGGCTGCGCCTGCCTTGGAAGAATAAAAACAAGGCTCTTTGTCTTACTCAGAGAATTGCAACAAGGCTCCCCTTCCTTCATTCCTCTCGTCCTACTCCGGCTCCTACTCCAGACTTTGCTTCCCTCTTTGCTGTCTCTCTCCTCCCTGGGGCCTTGCATTAAGCCCAGGTGAGGCTTCGGGGAAGTGGCCTCCGTGTGGTAAAGGTAGAGCCATGCCGGGCTGCCCGCTGCCCTACCTGTTCTGTCAGCCCCACTTTCTGGCACTCTTGTCCTCAGCGCCCATCCTCGCCTCACCCCTCTCCCTGCAGCCCTGGCATGTCTCTCCCCCCCCCCCTTCTCTCTCTCTTGCCAGCAGTGCAAATTTTTGCTTTAAGGAAGAAAGAGGGAAATAAAGGAAAAGAGAGAGAGAGAGAGAGAACTGAAGGCAGGAGGCAAGGAAGGGCGGTCACATGTGGGAGGAGCCTAGGAGTGATGTCAAGAGCCCCCGCTCCCTCCCTCCTGTCTTTGCTTGGGTTTAATAGGTTTTTCCTTAATCCTTCCTTATTATCCAAGATTTTTGCTTATCCAACGTTCTGGTAGCCCGTTTTTGTCAGATCAACGAGACTCTACTGTACCAATTTCTTTTGATGTATAGAAAGTAGACTTAGTTGTAACCCGACTTGGGAGATTTCTCTTTAACCTGTGAATTATGTAATAATAAAAGGCAGAATATAACAAACAAATGTAACATTAGATGTCATATGATTAGTGACCTCTGTTTTCTCTGATTCTCAGGAGGCCCTAGAGGCATGCCAAACAAGGATCTCAAAGATGGAACTCCAACAGCAACAGCAGCAAGTGGTCCAGCTGGAAGGCCTGGAGAATGCCACTGCCAGAAACCTCCTGGGCAAGTTGATCAACATCCTCTTGGCTGTCATGGCAGTCCTGTTGGTCTTTGTCTCCACCGTGGCCAACTGCGTGGTCCCCCTCATGAAAACTCGCAGCAGGACGTTCAGCACTTTACTTGTAGTGGTCTTCATTGCCTTTTTCTGGAAGCACTGGGATGCCATTGCTGGCTACTTGGAACGGTTCTTTTCTCCCCCAAGATGATGTTACAAAGAACTGGCTGTTGCCCCTCCTGCCCCAGGGCCCTCTGGCCAAGGGAGTGTGGCAAAGCTTAGTCAACAACTCCTTCCTCCGCTGAAGTTTTAAAGTGTCAGAGTGTGAATTTGTTTACAGTTAAAATAACGTTTTTTCTCTCTATGAGACACATTGGCAATAGTGTTTTTTAGATTTTATTCAAGAGCTCTTTTTTGGCAGAAATCCTGGATAATTTTTATGTAGCATGGTTCTCTTTGGATGCAAATCTTATTATTCCTTAAGTGTACAAAAAAAATAAAACACCAATTTGGAGCACACCAATGGGCAATTTAAATTATGACTCAAGCTACTGTACTAAACCTGTTGTGAAGAAGAAAAGACATTTACACAAAGCATAACAAAGATTAATCCAGTGCACAAATGATACCGCGATGACCCCATAATGCTACTGTGAAACCTGACTACATTCCATGTCTGAATGTATGGCTTCAGGGTGACTTTCTCTAATGGAAGACCAATGCAATGCGTGGAACTCCCTGGATCTATTGCTGGGTTTGTCTGTTCTCTTAACTGAGCATCCACACTCTTTCTCTAAAACCTGTTCAATTTTTTGACTAAGGATATGAAGTGGATGCGTTATACGACACACAGTTACTGCACAGTTGTACTACAGTATTTTGAAGTAGCCCTTTAAATACTTTAAGCAAATGCCCTTGGTCGCACTTTTACTGTTTTTTAATATGTGTATAGTCACAGATTTAAAAATCCAAATGGCATACTTGAAGAGTGTAATACTCAAACTCTCAGTGCTTCCTTATTGTTTCTAATAGGATTTTTTATTATTCTTATTAGGGGTTGTTTTTCAATTCAGTGGTTGGGCAGGTCATTTCTTTTCCATTTTGAAATAAAGAAGTGATGTTCTTACATGAAGAAATGTGTGAATAAATGTGAGCTGTCTTTGTCCTGAACTAGTTTTGAGAAGAGAGCAGAAGTGGCTTCTCATGCATCTTGAAGGCACAGCTTTTCTGATGCGATCTGTTTCCTTCTTAACTTGCAGATGCAGCTTCACGAAAAGAGATCTTCTTTCTCCTCCTGTCTGTCTTCTCGTCATTTTTTTTCTTTCATGGCAGGGAGGAGAATTAAAATCTCATCCCTGGGTCTGTTGCATCTAGACTCAGAATATATTCTTGTTTTTAAGGAAAGAAGAGAGATAGCCTTTTCAAAGCAAGTGACTGAGTGCCGGTTCTGTTACGTGAAAAGTGATTGGTACCTGGGAATCTTAGTCTCACTGGCCATTCGTAAGAGTTAAACTTTCTGTTTAGGCTCTTGCATGCCAAAGTTGGGGTTGCCACTGGAAGAGCTCATGTCCAGTCAACTTCAGGTCTGTTTTAAAAAGTTACCCTGTTTAAGAAAAAACTAAATGTTTAAGGAAACAAAGGGCCAGTGCTTCCGGCAGGGATTAGAAACATGTAACATTCCAGATGGTGGATTGCAACTCTTATCCAAGCACAGTCAGTGGGAGATGGGAGTTATAGCTTGGCAAATCTGAAGTCTCACATGTTTCTCTCCCCTGCTTTATATATTCCCGAGTGAAGTTATGATTCAAATGAACCCCTGATAACTGAAACCAAAGTTGTCCTATTAGTAAACAAACAATGCGTCTTGTTGGTCTTTCCTGGTATGTTTATAGCCCCGCTCTGCATCTTGTTCCTATATAGTCTGTCTTAGTGAGAGCTGTCTTCTCTTCACAGGTTATAATAGGTGGTACAGCTCTACTAACAGCAGGTTGTACCTTACCAGGAATTAAGGAAACAGAACTGCCAGTGGCGTATACTGCCCTGCTTACCCCACCTCCACTGCCCTGTTTCTCCATGCAGCTTTTCCATGTCTCTTAAAAAGGAAAGCAGGGGCTCACGCAAGTGACCCCCACAGATTTTGCCCTGGGCAAGAGATGCATTGAGAAGAGAGGTGGCAAATGAACAGCTTGAGAAACCTCCTTGCTTTTTGGAACTGTGTGGCTTAGCCCTAGAATGGTAGCAACCTCTGTTACGTCCATGACTCCGCAGCTATGGTGTCATATCTTTCTGGAGCCTTTTTCTTTGTAGTGGCCTACAGGGTTTATATCTCTAGAACTCAGACCTTTTCTTGAATCTGTTTCTTTTCTTTTCACTATGAATCAGTAAAAAGGAGAAAGAAAATCTTCTATATTGCTGACATTTCATCACTTATTGCAATTTATCTGTGGCCAGTGTTCTTCTCTTAAGAACCTGACAAAATGCCCAAGTGACCTACAATGATGCCTGACAGGGAATGCAGGAACTCTTGTTGTTAGGGCTTTATTCTCTAGAACTATGTTGTGATGTACTTTGCATTCATGCATGGGATTTGTTCTTTTTGGTTGCTGTTGGGCAGCAGTGGGAAATTTTCCCTCAGCCCTGATCTTAATCTCAGTGATTTTACATATCATTCCCAGACTCATAAGTCTGTGTACTCAAATTCTTCATGCCAATATCACTACACCTTGTCACTGGTCAAATATCTTGCCTGTCCTTTTAAGGAAATAACTTGCCAATGTCAATAGACTTGAGCCAAATAATAAACATTCCTGTTTCCCTTAATGTTAGAGATACAGAATTGGGTTATTAATGTTTATCTTGGCCTGCCACAGCAACACTCTGTTGAATTTATGCTGACACTGCCTGATATGCACAGACTCAAAGGGATCCTACTTTCCCTACACATTTCTCCTGATTTTCATAATGATCCCCTACACTAAGTAACAAGGTCAGACTTTGGACTGCAACTATTATGTTTGAAATGAGTTTCTTCCAAAACTTCCTGACCCCATCTTCAGATTTTTACTGCAGACACGTTGAGCTCAGGGTACAAAGCAATGTGAAATGAAACAATAAAATTCATATTTGTTGGTGCTCATCACCCTGTAAAATCTAAAAAGATGTTTTTATTCTTCTACTTGTAAAAAAATAAAATCAGTTATAGTATTTGAATTCTGAGCATACAGTATCTCATGAAAAGGAAAATAATTAACAGAATCCTTAATTTCCCAAACTGTTCTGTGAAAGTCTTTTCCCCTGTAGTCCTCAATATCTTTTGAAATCTTTTTAAAACTGCTGCCCATGCTTTGTGAAGTTGCGTTCACTCTCTTGACAACCCTAATGCTAACTCTTGTGTCATCATTTTGCCTTTTCTTTTGCTAGTGGATCATACATTCCCCTCCTGTTGGTCTGAAGGGCTGTGACTGCATCAAAACTGTTTTAACAATGTTAATTGTTTGAAAATGTGACTTTAGCTTTAAAATCCCCAGTTCCTTTGCAAGTGCTGTATTCTTTCTCTTAAAGGTGAAGCATTCCTGGATGATTTGTGAAAGGCAGAGGCTGCCAGTGAACAAGTCTGAGAGCAAGTGAGAGAGAGAGAGAAAGAGAGAGAGTGTGTGTGTGTGTATCTAATGTTCTTCTGATTACTATTACTGGTGTGGCACTCTTGAGTTGAGGAATTGCATAGTTTCGTATTTGGATAGAGTGAAAGGTTTAGTATGTTAATCGCATATCAATTGATTGCAAAAAAAGAAGAAGAAATGAATGTAACAGGTTGCCTTGATGGAAAAGGTTACATGTCAGCACATTTTACGTGGTTCATAAGACATCCTTTTTTTCCTTTTAGTTGGCTATTTAAGAAAGAACTCAGTTGAAAAGCTAACATTTTAAGATTTCTTTTGTTCCTTCCCACCATTGCATGATAACTGAGTACATTCTGAATATGAACTTAGTGATGACACTTCATTGTTTACTCCAACTTTTGTGGATACCCTCATTGGGGAGTTTTGTTGGTTGATGAACCAGCCTAAAGAGACACAATAATTCAGCCCTTTAGTTGGAAGTAGGACCTCAAGAAACAAAAGCTGCAAGCAGTACCAGCCAAGAAGCCAGGTGGTTGCAAGCAGGTGGGTGGGGATTTTCCTTGGTAGGCTCACTTCCCAGTTCTAAGAGGATTCTGAATGTGGCTGAAGAGTCCTGTGTGTGCGTCTGCGTGTGTGTCTGTGTTGTGTATGCAGGGTGGTATCGTGCATTAGTAGGCAACTGACCTAGCGGTAAGTGCGTTTTTTTAAAAAGTATGAAATAAAAACTCACTTGCCACTGGATGAAGAGTACAGATATGACACTTGTGAAGGTAACACTGTAGTTTATAGTTCTTTAAGCTGCTAATTGTTGAGAGGGATTGACTTTTGTCTTGTCTGGTTGTCACAGGTTTGTCTGTGACACATACTGTATATAAAATTAAATAAAAACCTCAGATATTAAATATTTTGTGTTGTCAGTATTTCTAAAAGTTGGCTGTGGAGGGGAAGGTGGGATACCATTGGTATGAAAAGGATAAAACTCCAAGCAGCTCACACTCTTTCTCAGTGTTGGCTGGGAGTTTCCATCAGACAGCATCGGGACGGCCACACATCCCACATAAAAGGTAAAGGTTTCCCCAGATATTAAGTCTAGTCATGTCTGAATTTGGGGGGTGGTGCTCATTTTCATTTTTAAGCCAAAGAGCCAGTGTTACCCATAGACACCTCCAAGGTCATGTGACCAGCATGAGTGCATGGAGCACGGGCCCACACATTCTGTATATGTTAGACTTGCAAAGAAAAAAGTACAGTAGAGTCTCACTTATCCAAACTTTACTAATTTTGTTGTTGTTTATTTGTTCAGTCACTTCGACTCTTCATGACCTCATGGACCAGCCCATGCCAGAGCTCCCTGTCGGCCGTCACCACCCCCAGCTCCTTCAGAGTCAAGCCAGTCACTTCAGGATACCACCATCCATCTTGCCCTTGGTCAGCTCCTCTTTCTTTTGCCTTCCATTTTTCCCAGCATCATTGTCTTCTCCAAGCTTTCCTGTTGGAAAAGTGAAGCCTTCTCCTTCACTCAGCCAACATATTATCCAGCACAGTCTGCCTCCCGCCCAGATCCACATCTGTTTCAAAACATTGCAATATTTTGGTGCTAAATACAGTAATTACTACATAAAATTACCGTGTATTGAACTGCTTTTTCTGTCAGTTTGTTGGAAAACATATTTTGGTGCTTAATTTGTAAAATCGTAACATAATTTGATGTTTAATAGGGTTTTCCTTAATCCCTCCTTATTATCCAACATTTTCGCTTATCCAATGTTCAGCTGGCCCATTTATGTTGGATAAGCAAGACTCTACTGTACCCAATTTTGTAACCGAGGCTAATTCAAATAGAAAGTTGTTCATCTCAACACCATGTGTGTCTTCTTCCATCAGAGTGTATGTACATGTGATTCTTTCAACATGTTATATGAACTTATATGAAGCACCCTGATAGTGAATTAGACTAGTCCACATAGCTCAATACTGTCTGCTCTGACTAGCAGATACATTTCAAAAGCTTCAGTTAATAAAGTGCTAAATGGAGATCCTTGTGCCATTAGAGATACCAGGAACTCAACCTAGAAACTACTGTATGCAAACTATGTGCTTTCCCCAACAGTGAGTTTTAAACTTCCTTCAAAGAGCTCTGAATTTTTATTTATTTATTTATTTATTCATTTTTCTGGAGTTTCCTTGTTGAACTTTCCGCTGGTCACACAAGTTCTCCATGGGAGGTTGTCCAAAGAGGTTCATGGCTGAGGAGTCCTGCTTTCAGTCCACATATGATTTAAGTCCAACACACTGTTTCTTTGCAGTAGAAGGCTTCTAGGCATTCAACAATACAAATTACAGGATCACTACTGAACCGGGAAGAAATGCTGAGCCATATTTATTCTTTTGCTACCTAACGGCTGCTGGGTGAATACTGAAATTGGTGATAACTAGATGCATCTCTGAGGTTGGGCCACAGCTTCCTTAAAACAGAACCCAGAAGAAAAGATTGAGCTGTTGGTACATTTATTAAGAGCAGCCAAACTTGTTTTCAAATCAAACCTGTCATAGCTAATGACACTGGCTGAACTGTTTGCCCCGTAGATGCTTCTCTCTGTGTATATGCATCTGTATGCACTTTCCTCCATTGAGGGACACTATTACACAAAAAAAGGGGGGTGGAGTATGGGGCTGTCCAAGATGGGCGGTCTTGAACAGTAATTCTTCCTCCTTTCTGAAAACCTTAGCAGAACCTGTATTTTTTACCCTAATACAAGGTAGCATACTTAAGCCTATTTTTATATATGTTCAGCCATGAAACTCACTTGGTGGCTTTGTTAACTGTAATCTTTCTCACAGTATAATTACGTTGCTGAACATTTCCTTGGAAAAATGAATGGATTCAGTTAACATATATGAAACTGACAATACCACTTAGATAAGATTGTAAGAGTTAGAAGAAAGCTTGATGGTCAACTAGTCCAATCTCTATTCAGGTTTCTCTCAAGTAATGCATTCCTTCTTCTCCCTGTACATCTCTCACACAGAAATCTGGTTAGTTTGGGAATTCTTAAGCAAAAATCCTGTATAATAGTTTAGTATATGTTAAATATCTGTTATCCAAAATATCTGGGACCAGAACTGCTCCATATTTTGGATTTTTCAGATTTAATAATACTTGGATATACATAATAAGAGGAAGCCCAAGTTGAAACACAAAATTCATTTATGTTTCGTAGGCATATACACATAGTTTGAAGGTAATTTTATACACAATATTTTTCATAATTTTGTGCATGAAACAAAGTTTGTATACACTGAACCATTAGAAAGCAAAGGTGTGACTCTGGTTCACCCATGTGGACAATTTTGAATTTTGTAGTATTTTGGAATTCCAGATAAGGGATACTCAATGTGAATTTCAGCACAGCGGTAAAGAAGTAAAAGAGCTGAGATCAAACCATGGTTTTATGATGGTTTTAAGAGCATTGGACAGGATGGATATGAGCTTTGGATTTTATATCTATAATCATATGCAAATGTAGTAAAATGTAAACATCATAAAATAACCTGTTTGATTCTTAATAATATTACAATGTTTGTACAACTGATCATGTAGGGCAGAGTTTCTCAAACAGTGATCTTCCAGATGTTTTGGACTTCAGCTCCCACAATTCCCAACCGCTGGTAAGCTGTCTGGGATTTCTGGGAGCTGAAGTCCAAAACACCTGGAGGAGCACAGTTTGAGAAACACTGATTTAGGGGAAAGCCCTTGCTGTTCTATTACTAAATTAAGTGGCGTATTAAAGAACTCTGAATGCTTGCATATATTGTATATAGACAATACAAACTTGTCCCCCTAAATTTTCATTGCAATCCTCATTGTCATGCTATCCTGAGAAGATTAAGAGGAAGAGAATGAATTTAAGGAAGGGGCTAAGTCTGCAACACTCCTACTCTTTGTCACCTATACATTTACCACAGTCAAAGCATCTTGCAGAAATGGTGAGGGATTTGCATATGGGACACTTGGGGGCCCTTTCACACTACACAATTACAACACTATGATTCCACCTGAAGTCTCATAGCAGTGTCCTATGGGACACTGGGAGCTGCAGTTTAGGGATTGTTCTTGTCTTCCTCGGAGGCTGAAAGAACGTAAGTTGTTCATGATAATGAAATGGGTTTCCCTGCCAAAGCAGGAATTTGAACCCTAGTCTCTCAAACTTCCTGACCAGCTGGATTGACTAGTTTTTAACTTGTATTAAAAATTTCCACAATTTATTTTGTTTTTTTTGTTGGTCTCGTGCACCACCTAGCGGGGGGAAAATTTCCTTACTGCAGATTTATTTCCACAGTTGAAGCAAACAACCTTTCCATTTCTTGCAGATTTGCAACATGTTTATAGGGAAATAGGGTAGCTGTGGGATTTTGCTTTAAGCTCTGCTGCTTGTAAGTATCAGCTATGGCTTCGTGACAACCTGTGTAAGGTTCTAAAATGCACATCTTTCAGGAACCACAGGGGCCTTTCCCCATTAGAGTTAGCAAGATGTTTATATGTGTGTAGTGTGTACAATGTTACTCCAGAATTACTTACTTACTTACTTAGGCGATCCCTCATTTTCCAAGGGGGATTGTCTTTCAGTATTTTTGTGGGTCCGTACGTGGCTGTGGAGCCCTATTCTTGCTCTGCATCTTCTGCAGTGAGGGCATTGGTTTCCAGGTGGAAGGTGGTCTCGGTTGGCTTGACGCGCCTTCCTCTTGGCACGCTTCTCCCTTTTGCCCTCCATTCGTGCCTCTTCAAATTCTGCAGCACTGCTGGTCACAGCTGACCTCCAGCTGGAGCAGTCAAGGGTCAGGGCTTCCCAGTTCTCAATGTCTATGCCAGAGTTCTTAAGGTTGGCTTTGAGCCCATCTTTAAATCTCTTTTCCTGTCCACCAATGTTCCGTTTTCTGTTCTTGAGTTCGGAGTAGAGCAACTGCTTTGGGAGACAGTGGTCGGGCATCCGGACAACGTGGCCGGTCCAGCGGAGTTGATGGCAGAGGACCATCACTTCAATGCTGGTGGTCTTTGCTTCTTCCAGCATGCTGACGTTTGTCCGCATGTCTTCCCAGAATATAGTGGCTCTAGCAAGATGTTATTCCTTTCTTGGCCACCACATCCCAGTTTCTACACAAGAGAGAGAGAAAATGAGGTCCTCATTTTATCCACTAATAATGCTCCTCAGGATAATCATGTTTTAGTCATTCAATTATAATTGTGGGTGTCCTTACCAACAGCAACCAAGGGACATAGATTTTTCAACACTTCCGAGACCTCCCTGTGGTTTAGGAATTTACAGATAATGTCTGGCATTCTGTTGGTGACATATAGGCACACATGCTTTTTCTTATACATTGAAAAAGGATGTACTAAGTGGGGCCTTATGTAACATCATCTTTATATATAAAATCTCAGCCTGCTTATGTTTGCACTCACATAACTCAAAAAGTAGTTGGTTGATTGACTTGATATTTTGACACAACATTGCATTCCAATACGTGCATGTTTTTACAGTAAAATGAAATTGAAACAACGTTGTATTTGAATACACACATGTTTTTAGAGTAAAACTAATAGTCTGGGAATATACAGAGTGGAATCTGTGATGCCCAAAGCAACTACTCACAGCCTAGCTTTCATTTTACCTCAGCAGTAAAAGAAATTAAATCAGAACACTGAAATTTGGACACGTTTCATTTGAATATACACATGTATTTAGAGTAAAACTAGCAGTCAGGGAATAGACAAAGTGGAATCTGTGATGCCGAAAGCAAACACTCACAGCCTAGGTTTTATTTTACCACAGCAGTATAAGAAATGAAAACTGAGCAACCAATTGCTACGCAGCTTTCCTTTTACCTCAGCAGTATAAGAAAT